ATGCAGGGGATACAGACTAGTTCCTAACTAGTTCAGGACCGGACTTTTTAGGAACTGGACCGGGACTGGACCGAACCGGACTTTTAACATCCCTATAGTGGACGAAGTTAATACCATAATACCCACATTCGCCAATAATACCCTCATTTTCCTTATACACAGTGGTTCTCGATATAATGGACCATCAATATAACGAATATTGCTTAATACGGAGAATTATAATAGAACTAAATTATGATTTACAATAATATCTTTGCTTCATGATATATAAGGACTGGAACCATGGCTTCCGTTATATCGAGAGCCACTGTGTAATATACTTTTAATTTTAAATTATTTTTTTATATATATAGTAAATTTTAATATTATTTTATTCTTAGTATAAAGATTAAAGTTAAATTCAGATTAAGCAAAATAATATATAGATTAGTATCACGATATTTTCCAAATTTAATTTAAATTTAACTAAAAAAATTAAAAATTTGATGATTAAAAAATTTGAATCAAATTTTGAATTTTGAGGAATACTAATTATCCTACTATATGTAAGCTTGTTATATTCAAGATAATTAATATACCCTTTGGATATAACATTTTTGAGCCACTCTTCTGGAGTACTCGCCATAACGATAAAAAAAATCAACACAATCGGTTTAAGAAAATCGATTTTACTGGATATGTATGTAACCGTAATACGAGATGTCAATCGGGAATTTCAACAGGTAATACCATATTTAAAGTAAATAATACATGCAAATGACATAAAAATAGCAAGATGATCAAGATGGCCGAGATTATTTATTATCAGCATTTACACACGTTTCTTTTAAAGAAAGTTGAAATGGATAAATAGATGTTTTTGAAATTGATTTTTCGGGTGAAACATTACACCTTTAACAAAAGAAAACAAATATTTAAAAGATAAAACAATTGTGAAACTTAAATAGTTCCAAATGAATTTATTTATGCTCGCAAATAATTACTGAAATTTTAAATGTTACAACACTAAAATTTTCAAAATTTATAATCCTATTTTTCAAGTATTAAAAATAAATGATAAAATTGGAAACGCACTAAAAAAAATCTACATGAAAATGTAAAATTGTCTATTTATATAATTTCAAATTAAAGTGCACAGCAAAACAAAAATAAAATTAAAAAAAAGGAAACAATAGAACAAAAAATATATTAACATATATATATATTATGAACGACCGAGCGAACATAATGAAATATTTAATTAGTGAACGATTTTACGTTCAAATGTAGTTGTTACTATTCGAATTTTTTTTTAAAAGAAAACAATTCAAGCATTTCCACCGCGTCTACTACGAGTAGTAGTGGTAGAAGCGGTTTTGGATTGAGATGTTGATGCAGGGCCATTGGCAGCTCCCCGCTTGTTTCTTGTTCTCTTTGTTGTAGTGACCGGATCATTTTGCTCAGTGTTAGTCCCAAGATCATCAGCCGGAGGATTGAAAACATCTTCCTCATTGGCTTTTTTCGAGGCACGTGTTCTTTTTGCAGCAGGCGCCTCATCAACTTGTTTTGATACATTGGCAGAATCGATTTCAGGAGAGGTGCGCTTATTTAAAGTAGATGTCGCAATAGAAGGTGAACCAGAAATAGCTTCAACTGATGTTGCTATTGCCGCAGCAAACGCATCTTGCTGTTCCCCTGTTGGGAATGCACCAATGAAAGATTCGAACAAGGCAGTGTTTTCTGTTTCTGATGGTGGTACCGAAATAGGCATTGTGCTAACATCACCTTGAATTGCACCAACAGAAGTTGTGGAAATAGGACCCAAATGGGGAACGTAAACATTTGGTGCATTAGAAACAAGTTTGGAAGCTGAGGCAGCACCATGATCACCGTTATCTTCATTGGAAGAAGTTTCAGGGGGTGATTCTACGTGCCCATGGGTCGCTCTATATACACGAAGTTCCTCATCGTATCGTTCCTTGTCAGCAAAATAGCGGTCTTCATAAACCTATGAATTTATTTATTGAATAAGACTTGTGACTATATAAATTAAAAATTAATAAACAAATAATTAAATACCTTTTTTTGTTCTCTTGATAAAGCTTTCCATTTTTGACCTATAAGAGTTACAATTTCTTTTTGGTTTGCATTTGGGTTATCGGCTTTTGTTTCAGCGCGAATTTCATTGCTAAACAAAATATAAGCCGTATTTGGACGTTTTGGAGCATTTGGATCTTTTATCTGAGACTTTTTTAATTTTCTTGATTGGTGTAAAGAGTGGCCGGATCCACTCATGTGACCATCTCCGGGAACAATACCTACATCCCTTGGGATTAAAGATTGGAATTCATCACAGGCTTTTGCAGCAAATCTAAGCGCTTGAGCGATTTGGTCATATGCGTTCACAAGCTTAATTTGTCAAACAATGAATTTTAAATGAATATTCATATTAAATTATTCTTAAGTCGAAACACGCGCGATCAAGAAGTACATACAACATCTCTTTTAGCATTCAATTGACGCAAGAGTTCAGGGTCAACGAGGTGGTCAGGTTGTGTGCCAAAATGTGTTGGGCGCGTGTCGCTAGGCATTTTATTCTTATTATTATCGTTTTGTTGATGGAGAGTATAATACACGCAGTAATTCAAAGAATTTCCTGATTAGTCATGAATAAAAGAAATTAATGACATTTAGAAAGTAGAGATTTTGTTTAAGGAAATAAATGAGCAGGAATACATTATTATTAAAGAGTGTCGATAATAATTTTTAAGTAAAATTTTGTTTTGATGCCAAAATTAACCGAGTCATTGAAAGTCGAAGGATATTTCTTTTAAGGTAGGGAAGAAGTATACCTTTATATTATGATGAAAACACAAAACTTCAAACTTCGAAATAGGCTGTAAAATATGGTTAAAAAGAGTACAAAGTTGTCAACTATTAATAAATAAAAATAGAAGACGCGAATGTACACAAAAAAAGTAGTTGCTTTATTTCGTTTTTTTTTTAGTTTCAACTCTGGTCAAAAAGTCAAGTAACTTAAAACGAAGAAACTTGGGCGGTAAATTGTTGACTTAAATTCAAATGTAGGCTGAGGTCAAACAGCCTAGGGGGAATAGGGGATTTGTGAGACAAAAATATCTGACAAATCAGATTTAAATATTGTATGATCCGGCCAAAATTAAGTTTATATGCGCCAATGAGACAAATGGACTTAAGCCGGGATTGGAACCGATATCATAGTTATACAATACCCAAGTATGTATGTACGTGCATCCTATGTATCTATTCAGTAACTAACCTTTTAACATCTTTAATCCAAGAAAGGGCATATTTCATGTTAATTAAAAAGTGGATGTAAAAATAGCAGAAATATAAATATCATCAAATATCATCGGTCAATTGTCCCTGTTGCCCCTTGCTTAGACTTTAAGTGATCTGATCATTGAACATCCAGTGATTGTTAATATCTCATAATACATCATATCGATATTTAGGGAAGTACAAATATCCAACCTCC